CATAGGGTACCCAGTGAGGATTAAACCCACTATTTAGTAGGAATGATCAATCAGACTCACTCCTGAAACATTACCTTATGCTGAGGTACCTACTGAAGTTTCTGATCCCCATTCATCCAGCTAAAATTATTGTTTGATTTGTTTTTTACAGCTTATCAACACTTTGCGGGTTATTTAAAACCAGAAAATATTTTTAGATTGTAAGAATTTGGTGGGGAGATAATGATTTATTAATATATTTCTTACTAATTAACCCATAGCTGGAGGAGTGATGGTGGATTCATACCTCTCCTAAAGTTATTTGCACATAAATAAATATAACAAGCCCAATGAGAATTGGAACTCTGCTCTCTGATTAACAATTATAAGCCATAATGCATTACACCATTTGCACACCCAAGCTTACCTCATCTGATATTCCCAAGTAGTCATCCGTCTAGGTATTGATTAGGCTCAATGTTGTTTAACTTCGGTGATCATACTGGAACTGGTATTTCAATGTGATGTGGCTGTAAGCTCTCTTCTGAATATGTTAACGTGCGTCTTTGTAAAATAGATGAAGCTGATAATGCTTCTTTACATTATTTTCAGTGCATGTTTGCATGGGTTTTGCTTAAAATCCACTTCTGTGAATTGTTGATCCACAAACATCATATAAATATAGCTTTTTGCCAATAGCTTTCTACAGGGTGTGGTTGATAAATTGGCGTCTTAATTATGCAAAAATTCTAATAACACAGACATCTCATTTTAACAGATATGTTTACCAAAATTACACAAAAATATCTTGAAATACTAAAGAGTAAATTTATTCAATAAAATCACCATTGCCTTCAACCATGGCCACCAGAAGACTTCAAAATCTCCTGCAACTCTTCTGAACAGTCTCCTTGTTTAAGTTGGTGAATGCTTCCATAATCCTTGCATTCAATTTATGTTTGGTCTTACAAGGAATTTTGTTGGTCTCTTGCTCAACTGTGCCCCACACATAATAACCAAGAAGGTTTCAATCCAAGGAGTTAGATGGCCAGATAAGGCGTGATATGGTTGCAAAAATTGTCTGACAGATGTGGTCATAGAAATTGTTTGAGTCATGACTGGGTTCTCTTGCTTATGTGGCATGGTGCAGAGTCCTGTTGCCAGACATATGGTCTTCCAGCAACCACCCTCTTGACCCAGGGCAGCACTACCTCCTCAAGGCACTTAATGTAGACCACGTGGTCGAGTGAGGCCCTGTGGGAAGTGATAATTGAAAACACCTTTGTAATCCCCATTAGACTCATTCAATTCTTTCTGAATTCTCTATGCTGTCCTAAGATTGACACCCAAACACTCTGAAATGTTCATATTGGAGCTTTTGTTGGAGTGAATTGCATCATGGTGTTCTTTTTCTCACAGAGAGTGCCCAACTGATACTACTGTGCAGTTGATAAAATCAAAAGCAAACAACCCACATGCACAAAATTAAAAATATAAAATGTCGACAATTTACCTATCGCACTCTGTATATGGTATTTTAAATTTTCCCTTACTGAAAATGGTTATCCATTCAATTATAAATATAAATTGATCTCCTGTATATGTTCATATAGTAATTTCTAAGTAAAAAATCTGTTAAAATAATGAACCACATGCCTCACAAGAATGTAGCTATTCTTTAACCTGATTCCATGCAAATCTTTAAAACCAATTTTATAAAAATGATAAAACACAGACTAAACATTAATATGATTTTACTGCAGTGTTTTCATGGGCATTTTAAAATTTTACTTCCATGAAAGTGCACGGTTCACCATGCACTGTCACAAAAATATACATTTCCCACCTTGTAGAGTTACATGGGAAATTTTATGAGCACTGTGAAAATGATAAACAAGTTTAAAATGTTCATGATTTTCCAATGTTTGCATGTTAAATAAAATTTCTTTGAATTCGAAAATGCATTTCATCTCTCATGTCAGTTATGTGCCATGCTTGATATTTGCTTAGGCGATCATGTATCTTTCAATGCATGACTGACGAGGCAGATTTTTTCCTGCATTAGGTTGCCATTTCTTTCTGTAGTAGACCAGTTGCCATCCATGGCTACAGAAACTTGTCTGTCCTGCTATTTACCAATAGCTGGGGGGGAGAAGAGGATTCATACCTTTCCAAAAAATCTCTGAGTGTTTTTAAATCTGATCACTGTGAAAATGCTGAACCACAAACTTCAGAAGGTTTCATACATCTGTGTGTTTGCATGTGACTTTTTAAAGTGGAAAGAACTGTAAATGCAGAACCACACACTCCACATGAATATGGTTTTTCACCTGTGTGTATTCTCATGTGAGTTTTTAAATGTGATCTCTGTGAAAATGCCGAACTGCACACTTCACATGAATATGGTTTCTCACCAGTATGTGTTCGCATGTGATTTTTTAAAGATGAACTTCCTATAAATGCAGAATCACAAACTTCACATGAATATGGCTTCTCACCAGTGTGTATTCTCATGTGTCTTTTTAAAGCTGAACACCCTGCAAATGCTGAACCACATACATCACATGTATATGGTTTCTCTCCAGTATGTGTTCGCATATGAGTTTTTAAATCTGATCTGCGTGAAGATGCTGAACCACACACTTCACATGTATATGGTTTCTCAACAGTGTGAGTTTGCATGTGTCTTTTCAAATCTGAATTCTCTATAAATGCTAAACCACAAACTTCACATATGTATGGTTTTTCTCCTGTGTGTGTTCGCATATGAATTTTTAACTTTGATTTCCATGAAAATGCTGAACCACACACTTCACATGAAAAGGGTTTTTCTCCAGTGTGCATTTTTATGTGACGATTTAAATGTGATCTATGTGCAAATGTAGAACCACATACTTCACATGAATATGGCCGCTCACCGGTGTGTGTTCGAATGTGTCCTTTTAGTGTTGAACAGACTGCAAATGCTAAGCCACACACTTCACATGAATAGGGTCTTTCACCTGTGTGTGTTCTCATGTGTCTTTTCAAATCTGATCTCCGTGAAACTGTTGAACTACACAGTTCACATGAATATGCTTTTTTAGCAGTGTATGTTTCCATGGCTAGGTTTCTATGAGAACTCATTTTAATGGATATACAAGAATATTACTTGTTTTCTAATTTATTTATTTTTCTTTTTTTGCAAATATGGTTTTAGTAGACACACTTTAAAATACAAATCACATTTTAAAAGAATGTTGTTTTCTTGCTCAAGGTTATTTTTTTCAATTTTTCTCTTCATATTGAAAACTTTTTTTTTAAACTTGAAACACATTGATATTATTTATCTTGGATAAATATTTTCATATTCAATATTGTAATGATAGTCACATTTTTTCATTATTTATGCACAGCCATCATAGGTGTTTCTCCACCATATTTAAAATATCTGAAAGAAGAAGATGCATTATTAAAGATCATAGTTTTATAAAATATTCTCAATTAGAAGTTTATAGTAACAGTTTGGATTTCAATATATATATATATTATTATTATTATTATTAACAATATTCTAAATGGTGCATCCACTCTTATCCAATGATGCCAGTCTACTAGGACAGCTAGTTAATTCCCACTGCAGATCCTTGGTCAGGCATATTTGTGTTTGTTCAACAGAGCCCACCTGTGGTTTATACTGCAACTATGCTGAGCAGACCTTAGTTACAGTTTCTGGGAAAGAGTGAGCTATCTAGCCTGATCAACTGTTTGAACAAGGACAAACCCTTGGTCACAATGACTTGTGACTTCATGCTAACATAACCACTGACAGCTCCCAAGGGTTCCATCTACCCAATTTCACTCACAAAGCTTGGGTCAAACTGCGGCATGGTTTTAGGCATCCTGGGATCACCGGCTCCCAACTGATAACATCAAAAAGTCACCTTCCTGATAAATATGGAATGTCAAAAGGACAATTTCCCCTTGATGCTGCTAATATTTTAACTACCTTCACTCCTTGGCAATAACCTAAACATATGAAAGGGAATTTATAAATTTTTTTTGTGATTAAGAATTTACAACAAAAACATTATTTATTAGATTTTTTTACATGAATAATTTCATATTTATAACATTCTAAAATCTAATACAATGCAATATTTATCATTTATCATAAAGAAATAAATATGAAAACAATGTTTTATTCATATATTTAAAAACATTTACTAAATTCTTAAATATGTGAACTATAAGGCAATTCTTATCATTTACAATTTTATTAAGTTTGAATCAACTGGCAATTAGACAAATCTTTGCCAAACATTCCAATAAACAATATAATAAATAGCGTAAATAAATCTAATAATGTATATTATTTCTGTTGTCAATTTTCAAGAACATAGAAAATGCATAAATTCACTTTCCTCATATGTTTAGGTATTATTACAATTCTAATTGTTGGTTTTTAAAACTATAATTGTTGCCAAGGAGTTAAGGTAGTTGAAATAACAGTGGTGTCAAGGGGAAAACTGACCTTTTAACACACTGTTTTTTTTTTTTGTGGGCAAGTCCAAGTTCCCCATTTTTTTAAATACATTTCAAGTCATAAATTAAATCCTCCCAAAATTAGTAATGAACATTTTGCAACAAAATTTTTTCTGTTTTCTCCTTACAAATATGAACAGCAGTAAATCCAAATTTCTCAATGAAATAACTATATCCACATAATGAAAAAAATTATTTTCCTATTAGATTTTTCCCCATTTTTTTTTTTTTATATTGACTGATCTGTTTTTTTTTTATGGCTTATCCACCCTTTGTACGTTATTTAAAAGCCAGAAAATATTCTTTGATTTTAAGAATTTTTTTTGTGATAATATTGATTTGGTGACACAAATCTTGCTAGTGGGTGGAGAGAAGTGGTGGATTCATACCTTTCCCAAGGTTATTTGCAAAAAAGTGAATATAATGAACCTGACTGGAATTGGAACTTACTTCTCTAATTAACAATTCTGAGTTGTTATCCATTATACCACCAACACTTACAGCACATGGTGTTCCCAAGTGGTCACTCATCTCAGTACTGACCAGATTCAACGTTGCTTAACTTCAGTGATCATATAGAAACCGGTGTTTCAACATGATATGGCCTTCAGCCCTTTTCTTTTTAATGATACATATTATATGGAAAAATAAATCCATTTTTTTATCTGAATTTCTGGATTGAGTCATTACCATGATTTGCATTTGGACAAATGTACTCATCTTTGATGTTTTTATTACAATATTTTGGATGTTGTGCCCCATAACTTTTTCAGGTGTCTGTCGATCCAGATAGCATTTTTTAAATCATTCCACCCCCAAGCAAGGCAATAAAGCCACTAGGATGCTAAGAGTTAGAGAACATGAGAAAAACTGACTATTAATGCAAGAGGACAATAAAAGAAGAAGAATTAAGAAGATAACAATTGACATTGCATTTAAATTTTTGAAGATCAAAGGCAATAAAGCCACTAAGACACAAGGGGATTACTGAGTGTTAGAGAATATGAGAAAAACTACTATTAAGGAGAGAAGACAATAAAAGAAGAAGAATTAAGAAGATAACGATTGACATTGCATTTAAATTTTTGAAGATCAAAGGCAATAAAGCCACTAAGACGCAAGGGGATTACTGAGTGTTAGAGAATATGAGAAAAACTACTATTAAGGAGAGAAGACAATAAAAGAAGAAGAATTAAGAAGATAACGATTGACATTGCATTTAAATTTTTGAAGATCAAAGTTGTCTAGAAAACAAGAAGCAGGAAGAGATTTCCACAATCGAGAAGTGTGATAGAAGAAACTGAATATAGAACTTACAGTTACAATCAGAGAATTATGAACTGAATCTATCATTTAATCTACAGGGAACAGGTTGTTCTTGTTCTACTAGGTTTAGGGATATCTTGTTCTTATTTAGTACTGTTCAGTTCCAGCGCCCTACGAGGCTGGCATCCCGCTCTCACCCCTTCACTGTTGAAACTCCTAAATGTAGCCGTCCCTTCTACTCTAATAGCTTCATGTCTCGCACCTCTCAACTGTGGAACTCCCTTCCCTTCTCCTGTTTCCCTGTGAGCTATAATCTCCAGCTATTCAAATGTAATGTCAATCGACATCTCCAGTTGCCTTAATCTACCCTCATCCTTTTTTCTATCACTCCTATCTGATCTTGCTATTTCCTGTAACCCCTTGCGTCCTAGTGGCTTCCCGCCTTGCTTGGGGTGAAACGCTTAAAAAAAAAAAGAGAGCACAAGACCTGTTTCCACAGATTCTGAGTTTGTACTACTTGGCTTGAATTATTATGATGCTACTAAAATTCACAACTCAGTGCTTTAATCCTCTTGGTTATTTTTTCATGGGACAATCCTCTGTCTAGAATCTGGAGCCTTAAATCTAATATTCTCTTTTTCTGCAGTCATGTTGTTAAGCTTGGCTCCTTCTACCACCTTTTTTCTTACTGCTGCTGCTGCTGAAGCCTTGTTCATTACACTGTTATTTCTCTTTCTTGCTGCTGCTGATTGTTCTATTTCTCTCTTAATTAATGATTCTCATATGGTATGCATATCTATGCTGGACTTACTGTTGATTCCTTCAGATGTCTGATTCTCCAATGTTCTTTGTCTAGCATGCCATAGGTGTGAGAACCTTTCTCCTTTCCATACAGGAACTAGTGTTTCAATATGAAAATTACATCTGTGACTCTAATACGACCCTGTAGTCCAGCCATCCCTATGTCATTTTTTTTTTTAAAAAGTTCTCACATATTATCTATATGTGGGGAAAATTGTGAAAATGGCCTACCTCGGAAACGCCCGCAAATCTGTGTGTCATGCAAACTCCGATTGTTCAACGATAAAAAGAACCAAAATGGTGGCGCCCATGTTTTATTCCGGGCAGTCTCAGACAGTTAACGCGACGTCTCATTGTCTCGTCATGCGCATGCAAATTATGGTCAGTCCTCGGCTGTATAAAGCAGGCGCGTTTTTGTTTCTGGGCACTGGAATTTTTGCTCATGAGAAGGTTGGACGTGTGACACTATTTTGTCAATTACCCTCCTCGCGGTTCCTATCTGCTCCTATCAGTTGAGTCATTTCTTTACCCCCACAGTCTCAATGTCATACTTATATTTCACTAAAATATTTAATTTCTCATGATATTAGTGAATAGAAATTAACCAGATGTTTCGCCATTGTTTTCTTTTCCTAAATTTCATCAATGACCTTCCTGATGGCATCAAGTCTCAACTTTGTATCTATGAGGATGACAGATATTTACTCCTGTCTTAATAGTAAATCCGATCCATTCTATAAAGTTAAAATCGCAACTGATCTCTCAAATGAACTACAATCTGTTGCTAACAGGGGCAAGGAATGGCATGTTAATTTTAACGCCTCCCAGCTCTCTTTTAATTATATGAGAGAACCCTTTTTAACTTCCATCAACATGGCTTTTTTCTCTCATATTCCTTAACACTCAGTAACCCCTTGCATATTTTTGGCTTTGGTTTCTTTGTTTGGGTAATTGGTTGGTTTTATTTATCAGAATATCAACCAAGGGTTATTTAATGACAAAATCTAAATCTGAACATAATATTATGGTTTTAACTAAATATATTTTGAACGCAATAGTATGCCTTCAAATATAGATAAAATGTATTGCTGGTCATGTATTTTCAGTCTTTTTATATAAAAATCTAATGATGGTATTTTTACTATCAAAATGTATTTTTATACTTTCATAGTGATTTTTTTTTGGGGGGTGCTCATGATTTGCCCATAACTGGGACCCTAACATGTGCTACCACCCTAGGCCAAGGTGGACCTTGCAACAACAGCAATTAAAAAGTGGTTCCATGCTCCTCAAAACCTTCCATCTGCTGATCAGAATTTAGATTAATTAAACTTTAAAATAGCTAATTTTTCTCAAATAACATTTCAGAAAAATATATTTTAATTTTGAAAAAACCTCAATCTCCTGATCAGAGGCCTTGCTGCTGGATGTAGTTTATCATCTTACCCAGGACTATAAGTGGCTTTATTGTCTTGCTTGAGGTAAAACAATTTAAAAAAAAAAAAACAGAATTTAGATTAAACTAGAATTAAATTAGAATTAAATTTTAAAACAGCTAATTTTTCTCAAATAACATTTCAGAAAAATATATTTTATTTTTGAAAGATTTTGTAAGAAACAGAATTAAGTTGTGTTATGGATGAATTTATCAATTTTACTGATTAGTAAAAAAAAACTTACAATTAGTTTAAATTCAGTTTGAAATACACCAATTTCTTTTACTTAGTGGAAATATTAAATTTAATCTATTAGCTTGGATTAAAACTGAAATTAAAGCCTCAAGAAAGATTTTTCATTTTAAAAAATGCATTTTCAACTTTAGATATCCTTTTTTTAGTAACTACTATAAATTATAACCTAATGACATTTTTTACATTTTCATTCACACACCGTATGGCATAAAAGTCAATTAGCTTGATTTCTGCTCCTCTTTCCTAACCTTTTGCAGCAAGAAGCTTCAAGTAGAAGAAGAATATTAAAATTCTTGGAAGAGGAAGCCAAAGCTTGAAAGATGAAAATCAAAACCAAAATGGGCAGCAAAGAATATCATGAGTGTTTTGATTTTCAGTATTATGGAATTAAAATGACGATGACATAGAGTATGAGTGAATGGCAAGATGTCTGATGCTGTTTCACATGTCTGTTATTTAATCAACATAAGAACACATTTTTTAATGTATATTTTAATGCTTTTTGTGGGGTGGGGGTTTACCTATATTTAATTCTTGAAGGAAAAGAGCCAGTTTCTTTTCATGCTAATAATTGTTACACAATCCATATATCATTTAAAACATTTATTTACCTATTTGGTAACACATCCAGACAAAACATAGTGTAACTTTTCTTTGAATGTCCTGGGTATGACAATAAGCTACATCCAGCAGCAAGTCCTCTGATTAAGAGATTGGAGGCTTTGAGAAGTGTGACCCAGTATTGTAGCACCTGTTATTGTCCCAGGTTTGGGCAAATAGTTACTTTTGCCCCAAACAAAAATCAACAATACATTTTGTTATAAAATAAAATAAGACATATCTCGGCTGATTTACAGGCAAACACTCAAGAGCGAGAGCCAGATGTGAATTGGACAAAGCCCCGTCACAAAATGACCATTATCTTCATTTACAAATGTTCCCGACACACGAGTTCAGGTCGAAAAATAAAATAATATTTAAAGTGTTCTATTTTTCATCCAATAAAAATGCTTCCCTCGTAATTATACTCGCTTCGTTTTTCGAGCCTGTTAAACCATAAAAAAACGCCATAAAAGGGGGTCACACGGAAGTTCAACAGGCAGTCACAGGTGGCCAGGGAACAAACCTATCACGGTCAGGCCGAGCGGTCAGCAGCTGACAGCAAGGGAGCATCAACCACTGTCAACATGTGTGAACTACTATGAGAGATCGACCTAGATCCGAAGCCGGCTTATGAAATATACCACAAGGTAGCTGTCCCAAACCCTCATGTTCCTTTTGAAATAAACCATGTAAATCTATTTCTGCTGTTGTCGTCTATAACAATTTTAATAATAAAATGAGCAACAATAGATTTTTATAGAACAATGTCAATGAATGCAACACTAAAAAATTATAAAAATACATTTTTATAGTAAAATTACCAACAATACATTTTATGATCTACAAAATACATATTTAAAAAAAAAAAGAAATAACTTTAACCTGAAAGTCTAAAATTACGTACAAAATAACTGTAGAAAGCATAAAATTATGTACAAAATATGTATATTTTGACATTAAATAATCCATAGAGGTTGACATGCCACTAAACAAAAAACCAACCATATCACCACCTGATAATTAACAAATGACACGTGCAGTCATCATGCTGACAAATAACAATTATTACAACAATGTATTTTTTATATCTAGTTCTCATCAAATTTTGGCTTACTGCCATATCATGTTGAAACACTGGTTAAGCAATGTCGAGCATGGTCATTACCACGTAGGACTGCTTGGGAATACGAGGTACTGTAAGCTTGAATGTGTGGGTGGTGTAATTTTTTTTCTTAGTAATTGCTA